GGCCTCTAGTACATAAACTCTAAGTATCCTTTTGAAATCTAGGCAAGCATAAAAGTCTAAAACTGAGCATTTCTACTATTTTCTGCCTAATGAATTCTAAGTCAACTACAAATATCTGATTTTAAACAGGAAAATAAAAGAAAAAGCAAACTTCTGAAACTCCGTGTTTCTTCATTCATATAAACATTAAGTAAAATAGCAGAACAGCATGAGTTCTGCCTTTTGACTTTGTAATGCTCTGTATGAAACCTAATTTAGACTTGGGAAAAATTATATCATCACCAGGACTAGCTTTATACTTAAAGCATTAATGAGAAATGAAGGACTTTTCAGTGATGTGTAAAGAAAAGGTCCTTAGAAATGGAGGTGTAATAAAAGATGAAAAGACTTTGATTTTGGCTCTGTGGGGGAATTGGGAGATCATTCAAAGGAAGTATTACTTATTGTGTTAATTACCTAGTGGGATCATCAAAATTCTTCTACATCTTTCCAGCACCACTCTCTTGTGTTCTTCCACTTTTATTTTTGGGAATAAATTTGAACTTCTGAATAGGTTCTATGGTTTGAGTCACTTAAGAATTCGTAAAGCAGATAGTGCAAACATGCAAAAAAAATTGTGGGCATTTTACAAATGTGTGACATTTTATGCTTCTCCTGTATTATTATAATTTGAACTCTATTGATAAACTATTTAAAAACCCAACTGAGAATGATGAGTAGAGAAAAGGCTCTGCTGAAATTAATACCATTTTTTGGTGGTAATTCATATAATTATGTATCTATTTCTCTCTCTCTCTCTCTCTCTCTCTCTCTGTGCATTTATTTCTTAAGGAACCAGTCACTGATACACTAATCCATAGTACTAATATATTTTAATGCATGGCACTTGAAAATAGGAAAACACTTTAAAAAACTTTGATATGAAATTTTTGTATATAAAGATGCCAAGACATTTTTTTCCTGCAGAATTAAACATAGCTACTACAGTACCATCATTTTTTTTTGGGGGGGGGATGGTAGACAATTTTTATTAAATAAAACTGAGATCATTAAATAATGCCATCAAACTAAATTTTCCTCCATTTTTGGAAGCTGACCACATGAAACTTTTGTTTTTACAAACTAGAAAGCCACCTCAAATTTGGATGAGATAGAACATTTATTGGTTAATAAAACAGAGATGGCAATGGGTCAACAGGATCCAAAGTCTAAATGGCAACCTGTTTTCTATCTCATATCTTCATCGCTCTTTTCTCCACATCTTGAGCTTTGACTTCATCACATGCCACTTAAAAATGAGCAGAACTTTATCCCCATAACAAAGGAAGCAGTCACTGGGTGATTTTAAGATGACATCATCTTAACTGGCTTCAGAGAAGTGCTGATGCTGTTGGTTCAGCATTAGCAACACCTAGAAACTTCTTAGAAATGCAAACACCAGGGTCGCCCTCCAGACCTACGGACTCAGAAGCTCTGCCCCTGGGCTTCCCCTCAATCTATGCCTTACCATACTGTCCAGGTAACACTGAAGTGTGGCAAATTTTTAGAGAAACACTGCTCTGAAGGAAAGAAAGACTGTCTCTTTCACTCTACATGAATGTCAAGGAAGGACTCTTACTGGTTTAGTTTCAATTGCATTCAAACTCTTAGATAGATGACTAGAACCAGGGATGTAGAAAGCTGTAATGAGCTTGGTTAAAGAATATGTTCACACCCCTGTCCAGGAGAATGAGATTCTGTGTTTGGGAGTTCCTTCAGACCACAGAGTGGAAGCAGAGAAAGAGGATATTCCCCCAAATACAGAGTGCTGTTACCTAATAAAAGGAGCAAAGTATGCAAAGGTGAAGGAAACACAGAAGATTTGTATCTTGTGATAACCTACAATGAAAAGAATATATGTATATATGTATAGCTGAGTCACTTTGTTGTACTCTGAGACAGAGGAGCCTGGTGGGCTATAGTCAGTGGGGTCGCAAAGGCTTGGACACAACTCATTGACTAATGTAATATTCTTAATTTGTAGAGAATAAATGCAATTTTCACTTTTATATGGCAGCTTAAGGGCTAGATCTAGCTTTCAGCCTTATTCTTTCCAATATTTTAAAAATTGGAAAACTTCACATAAAAAAATGGACATCAGGCTTCTTTTGAAAAATCAGATTAGCAACACTGAACTCAAATTTTCCTATGACACAGACTTAGAGAACAGAATTTATGATTGCCAGGGGAGAAGGATCAGTGGAGGAGATAGGGAGTTTGGAACTGACATGTACACACTGTTACATTTTAAATGGATGAGCACCAAGGTCCTACTGTATAGCACAGGGGACTCTGCTGCTCAATGTTACATGGCAGCCTGGACTGGAGGGGAGTTTGGGGGAGAATAGATACATGTGTATGTATGGCTGAGTCCCTCTGCTGTACGCCTGAAAATACCACAACATTGTTAATCGGCTATACTCCAATATAAATTAAAAAGTTTAAAAGCAAAAAAAAAAAAATTCTCCTGTGATAATAAGACAACAGAAGTTGAGGATCAGCTCTCTCTTTTGGAAAGTGCTCATGAACCCCATTTCCTATTATTTCAGTTGTTTAGCTGCGAGGTTGTGTCCAGCTCTTTGTGACCCCATGGACTGTGGCCAGCCAGCATCCTCTGTGCATGGCGTCTCCCAGCCAAGAATACTGGAGTGGGCTGCCTTCTCCCCGGGATCGTCCCAGCTCGGGGATGGAACCAGCATCTTCTGCGTCGGCGGGTGGATTCTTTCCCACTGAGCCACCAGGTCAGTTACACCTGACCTATTTCATCCTTTAGTGTTACACACCTAGTTCTGGCACAGTACCTGCATTTGCATTTCTCTGGGTTACAGAAAACGACAGTGAAGCATGACAAGTGCTGTGTGTGAAATATATACAGTATGAGGGAGTAGAGGGTATGATAAAAGGAAACGTTACTATCCTCATTTACATTTGTGTTACAAGAATAATTACTCCAGGTACATTGTAAGTTAAATAGGATCATGTAGGAGATAAATTGGAAATGCAATACAAAAATGGATCACAATTTCCCATAGAAACAGGTAGGTAAAAATTAATTTCCAAATATATCTTAAAATTAAAATAAATTCTTAAGTTGGAAACTATGGTTGTTTTGAAGAGGCTGAAAAATTAAGACTAAGGGTGCCATCAGAGAACCCCATGAACAGTATGAAAAGGGTGCCATACCCAACATTATAAATCAACTAAAAGCAAAAAAAAGAACCGGACAGTGAGATTTGTATGCATGTAAATTTCTGAGAACCCAACATAAAATATCGATACTGAAGTTTACATGTTACCTCATGACTGTAATTTATAATTACAGTTAAATTATAATCTGTAATGCAGAAAACATTTTGTTCCAAATCCTTACATTTTCTTTAAATGTGCTATTAATACACACATACAGGAGAAAAAAATAGAAAAAAAATACAAAACAAAACCAGACAGATATGAAACAAGAATAGGAAGACAGGGAAAGCTCAATTAGAAGTATACAGTCACTGAAATAAAGAAATTCAATAACTAATAATACCTTACCTTTGAAAGAAAAATTAGTAAATTATAAGATAGTATTGATGTCCTTCCCCTTAGATCTCCAAAAGGTCTGCACTCTCATTTCCTTCATATCTTTACTTCAAGGTCACCTTTTCAGTGAGGCCGTCCTTGTCTATCTTATTTAAAATTGCAAACCATTCCCCATGCTTTATTGGCTTTCCTATCTACTTTTTTTCCCAAAACATTCATCACTATCCAACATACTAAATTATTTTACGTATCATATTTAATCAAATATAAAAACAGAATCAATTTTAGGATGTATAATTAGGCTATATACCACCACAGCAACAAAAGTTCTGCAATTTAAACTAGAACACCAATGACTATACCTTGCAACATCTCTGAAATCAGGATGTATCTAAATGTGATTTGAACAGGTGAATTACCAGATGGCTAAATTAATGGGAGCACAAGAGTATTGAGAAGTAGAAGTAATATTAAGTTTACCCCTAGACAGATAAGACGAAAACTGGAAAACATCAAGGATAAAGAGCAAGCGTAAGCATACCAGGAGAGCCTAACTGCACACAAACGAAAGATAATCACACCAACCGCAGGCTCCACATCAGCAACAACAGATGCCAGAAGATAGGGCAGTGTTATTTTCAAAATGCTAAGAGAAAATGATTATCAAATTAGAATTCTGTGTCTTGCCAAACCATATACTTGAGAATGTGCAAGAAAGAAACACACTTTGAACAAACTAAGAAAGTATTACCCAGAGGTCCTGGTTGAAAGAGAAAGTAAAAGTATGTACGAAGTAAAAGCACATGCTTAGTCAGGAAGAAAAAAGATCCCAGAGGGAGGAGATAGGTTTCAGGAAATAATACCGAGCAAAGAAATTTGTAAAATATATCGATAATCCAACCAATTCCTGACTGTACGATAAGTGTATATGTGTGTTATATTTTTGTAATTCAAAAATGTTGAATTGAAAACATATTTGTGAATTACTGAAATGCCTGCAAGCCTACCAGAGAAGGCAATGGCACCCCATTCCAGTACTCTTGCCTGGAAAATCCCATGGACAGAGGAGCCTGGTGGGCTGCAGTCCATGGGGTCGCCAAGAGTCGTACACAACTGAGCGACTTCACTTTCACTTTTCACTTTCCTGCATTGGAGAAGGAAATGGCAACCCACTCCAGTGTTCTTGCCCGGAGACTCCCAGGGACAGAGGAGCCTGTGGGCTGCCGTCTACGGGGTCGCACAGAGTCGGACACGACTGAAGAGACTTAGCAGCAGCAGCTACAAGCCTACGATAAGGTAAATGAGTCATTTCAATTAATTAGGAGAATCTTTATATATTTGATTCCATGATTTCAGTTCTGCACATTTCCCTAAGTTTTTCACTACTCACAAAATACAGCAAAATAATCTTCTCCTCTCAAATCTACAATTCCCATCTATGGTGTTATGAAGAAGTACCTGCAAAGAGCGTGGGTCATGCTCGCGTCTTTGACATTCGGGTCAGTAGTCAGGCTCCTGATGAGAACCGTGATCATCTGCAGAGGGATATGCTGCACGAGGCTCGCCAGGGCTACGGAAGGTTCGGACGATGCGTCTGTGTGGTTTTAATGAAGAAGACAAAGGGACACGGCAAGAAGGTGTAAATGAAGTATGTACAGAGAACAGCTTACTACCCCTTCCACCGAGGGGTTGCTATGCTCCACCCCCTGTGTAGACACTAACATACAAAGAATGTTGAACTGAGAAATGAGAGATTAAGAGCTAATTTCATTCTATAGGAAGAACTACTGCAACATAAAAACTAATCTTCGATATCACCATATTTAGTCCCTAAGTTACTTTATTTTCTTGCATTCTTTAATATTTTGTTGTGCTAAAATAGTCATTTGTAAAAGCAGTAGTCAGAAAAGAAATGCAAGGCATCATTTAAATTGACTCCTTAGATCCTCCAAAGTAGCTTACCCCCTATTAATTACAGTAGTTGTTACATTGCTCTAAGGACAATTTTTTAAATCTCTTAAGGAAATAGAAATTAAGATGAATATTAGAAGGATTTTGCTTAAAACACATACAAATCAGGCAAAGCCAAGACGAGCACCTGTACTGCCACAGGTGAGAAAGCTCTTGGGAAACCTAATTGTTCTAGCAACACAGGCAATGTAAGAACAAGTACAATTAAAAAATAAACCGAAACTCAGATAATGCAAATACACAGCTGGCAATTTTCATTAATGCATTTAATTCAACAGAGAGCATGGGGCCTGCTAAAACTCTCGTCTTAGTTCTAATGCTCAAGCTAAAAGGGGGTTCCCTCCTTCACAACCTCAGTTTCCAACAACAGCCGGAAGGATGACGGTACTAAGCAGAGAGGAAGTGAACACAGTTTTGGATGTAGTGTTGCACAACTTAAGAGAGCTGGAAGCTCCATGTCTGGACAAGGAATGTAAACTCACAGGTAAAATTTCTGGGTGAGAAGGCATTTTCCTGTTAAGTTATCACCTGACCCCATCCTGTAGTTCTAAGGACACAATTCGTGGCCTATATACACCTGGAGCAGGAAACACCCGAACACTCAGCAACGCCCGCACCCCCACCCCCCTGCCCCCCACCCCATCCACTCTCACAAACTAAAGTGGACAGAAAATGCCAACATTTAGCAACTACACGGCTAACTTGGATAATCCAGTAATAAAACGAACGGCACAGTCCAGGAATTAAAATGTGGGAAAATTCAGAAGCTAAGGAAGAACTCATGACAACAAGATGACGGAGTCACAGCACGACGATGATACGGTAAACATGATTATGCTGCCATTAGTCACTCATGAATAAAAGCTTTACATGCTTTACATAGTAGCTGTCATCCTCCAAGCATTCCATAACTTGAGCAGAGGCTGAGTAATTAAGCGACTTGTTTCCTGCCAAAGTCTTAGACCTGGACATTCTCAACCTTTAAAATAGAAACACTGCCCTGTTTTTTTTTTTAAAGTCCAAAGTGACAGGCTGAATATGGCAGTGGAAGAGAATCTGGATGAGGGTGTTAAGATTTGCTTTTCCCCGAAGACGTTTTCAGAGCAGGGAAACACGAACACAGTGTGTATGTAAGAGAAACAAACTACATTTCCAAGAGAGGTTGTCCGGGAAGCCCACGACCCTTACCTGTGGAGGAAATGCTTGCAAAAACTTCTTGCAGAGAAGGCAGCAGGGTGGAGGGCTCGGCCTTCCAGATGTTCTGCAGCAAGTTACTCACTTTCGTCACCTGCGAAACATATTCCCGCAGCTCTTTCTCCTGGGTGGACACGCACTGGAAGTGGCCTATCGTTCGAACCAGCTGCTGGCAGAAGGTGATGGACAACTTGCCCTTGGGGACGCACTGCACGAAGTCGGTCAGGAGCTCGCTGAGTCGGGCGCACAGCTGCGGCTCCGGCCTCTCGCACACCATCCGCAGCACCTCCACCTGCAGCAGGCTAAAGAGGTCCAGCACCGACGGGCAGCTCATGATCAGCCTCAGGCCGTTGTGAATGTAGTCCACGATGGCTACATCCTTCCTGTCCAGCGAGTGGTAGCCCTGCTGAAGGAGACCCAGCACGAACGTCTTGTTGAAGAAGGACTCGAACTCCGGCCGGTGGTAGCGCGCGTAAGCCTCCAGCACTTGGTGGCCCACCTGCCGCTGAAAGGGGTCCTGGCCCTCCAGGATGAGCCGGGTCGTCAGGTCAAACATGGCCTCGCACTGCGCCTCGTCCAGCCAGTGCTCCGCCGACTCCACCACCTTCCGCACGATCACCCGCTTTAGGGGCAGCGGGTGCGAAGAACTCACCAGGCCCTCCAGGATCTTGTCCATCGTCGCCACGCGGCAAGTCCCGGGCCAGGGGGTGAGGAGCCGGTGGCCACGGCCCCGAGGTGGGCCAGGAGAGCCCCGGGGCGGAGGCGAACCTGGAGCGCAGCAGCAGCGGGACCGACCACCGCCACCGCTGCCTCGGTAGCCACATTTATCGGGCAGGGGGGCCCATCCGAGTCCGGGCGGGAGTTGGCAAGTCTGGGGCGCCTAATAACCGGCCCCGTCCGCGCTGGGCCTAAGGAGCCAGAGGCCCACACTCCGCCGCCGCCGCCGCCGCCCCGGGCCCGCGGTCTCGCTCAGCATCAGCGCGGAGGGGCCAGCGGGGGCCCCCCAGCGGCGGCAGGCACTCAGGGCCCGGGGCTGCCAGCCGCCGGGTGAGGAAGCGCGCCTCTGCGAGCCGCGGCAGGTGTAGGCGTTCGGGCTCCAGCAGGTCCTGGGATGAAACCCGCCCTGGGTTGAGTCAGGAGCGGCTGTCACGAAAGGTGCCGGATCAGCCCGGCAGAAGAGGAGGCGGACACCCTTGACCCGGATTCAGAAGGTCCGGCCAACAGGAAGTGAAGGACTTCGGAACCTCCGGAAAGGCCCGCCCCTCCGCCCTCCTCCCTACGCTACTTCTGTCTTCCTTCCCCTCTCTCCCTCCTCCACCCCCGCCCGCCTACCAGCTCCCGGGCCCCCCTCGGAACACCCCGCGGTCCCACCTCCTCGCTGCCGCGCAGGCGCGGCCGCCCCGGAGGAGTCGCGCGGCGACACCGGCGTCACTGGGGATCACGTGTAAGTCATAGGCGGCTTTCCGGGGGGTGCGGCCGGGAGCCGCTCCGGGAGAGCGGTGGACGTGATGAGTCCAGGATTCCCAGCTTCCGCTCTCTTGTCGGTTCTGTTCGGGTCGGGTTACTTGTGAAAGGCCGAGAAAGTTGTATTTAGTTCAAGTCTTGTGAATCAGAAAGTTTTGGAAATGCGAACCGAAGAGCATTTGGGGGAGAAAATAAGGAAAAGGACTCAAAACTCGGATTGAAGAGAAGTCGTTTAAGGTCGTGGCTTATTCATCAAGAGATGAACTAGGGTTCCTGAATGCGAGTGCCTTTCTCTTAACCCGTGGTTATTAAATTAAGGGCGGTACTGGCGGCGGTATACATTTAGAAACGATCCACTGTCTTTAACCGGTATCTTTATAATGAGCTTTTGTGGATTAACTATCAGGGCTCCCCTGATAGCTCTGTTGGTAAAGAATCCGCCTGCAATGCGGGAGACCCCGGTTCGATCCCTGGGTTGAGAAGATCCCCTGGAGAAGGGAAAGGTACCCACTCCAGTATTCTGGCCTGGAGAATTCCATAGACTGTAGAGTCCATGGAATAGCAAAGAGTGGGACACGACTGAGCGATGGGGAAGCAATGATAGTGTGGGACAGCGAAAAATACGTTGTCCCCAGAATGGGAGGAGAGTAAGGAAAATGATAGGTGAGAAAGAATGACAGTAGTTTGAAAATAAACCCGGTGAAATCTTCACAGTATTTATGTTATGCTGACACTGGTTAACAATAAAGAAAAGATGGAGTCATCATGTTTGTAGTTTTTCAAGTTAAATTCCAAAGATTCTCAATAAGAATTTAGGCTTTCATCAGAGGCCTTTAAATTGAAAAATTACCTAATTATGGCTCCGTTAAAACTTGACTCCTACGATTCTGAAATCAGACCTTAATGGCCTATAATACCGATGAAAATTTAAAGAACTGGTTCATTTAAAACGTACAACAGTAAAGAAGCAAAATTGTGAGTTGTTTACTTTGCTCAATGGTGTTTGGGTTTCTACCAATTTACAAAGTGGTTACACCAGTATATTTAATACATTAGTAAAGGGTAATGTTGGGGCTTTCCCAGATGGTTCAATTGTAAGTTGTTTGCCTGCCAAGACAAAAGGTGCGGGTTCATTCCCTGGGTCAGGAAGATCCCCTGGAGAAGGGAATGGCATCCTGCTCCAGTATTCTTACCTGGAAAATCCCATGGATGGAGGAACGTGGACGGCTATAGTCCATGGAGTCTTGGAGTTGGACCTGACTGATTGGCTGAGCACACACGCATGGATAATCTTGGAAAGAATAGCAGTTTAAACAGGATAGAAACTGGGTAGAGAAACTTGAGATGGAGTTAGTTTGTAGAAAGAGATTGTTGATGAAAGAGAAATGAGGTAATTGGTGGATGTAAAAGTCATGCTAGAACTCGAATAGCTTTGGAACTTTTTCTTTTCCAATAGATGGAAAGTAAAACTATAGAGAAAGTTTGACTTCACTGGGAATGGTGCCACATTGGAAGACAAAAATAAGGTGAAAGTAAAATATTAAGAGGAATGAATGGTAGGATTGTGAATTTACTGATTTAATTTTAATTCTAAGATGTGAAATGAACAATATTTAAATATTATACCTACACCCAATGTTATGTAGGACTTCCCTGGTGGTTCAGACTGTAAAGCGTCTGCCTACAATGAGGGAGACCCAGGTTTGATCCCTGGGTCGGGAAGATCCTCTGGAGAAGGAAATGGCAGCCTACTCAGTACTCTTGCCTGGAAAATCCCATGGACAGAGGAGCCTCGTAGGCTACAGTCCATGGGGTCGCAAAGAGTCAGACACGACTGAGCGACTTCACTTTCCTATCCTATGTTATGTATTAAGGGAATGAGAGGAAAAGGCAATATTTGTTATACGTATTAATTTACTTGAAGCAAATATTTTTGTTATACACTAAGCAAATATACTATACATTCATAATGAAATAAGGAAGAAATGCTTGTGACAACAACAGTCCAGATTCTGTCACTGAAGATGTGATTATAGTTGGTATTTTAACAACTTTTTCCCACTGTCTATTCTGTATTCCCTTTGCCTTCAGCAAGTACCTCAGCTGGTTGTAGTTCTTTGCCTGATGGAATGACCCAGACAGACCTTCATTTCTGAAGAGTCTGGGCCATGAGTAGTCCTGCCTGGGTTGGCTTGTTGTAGATTTACACTGGCTTTAATCACAGAGCATGGTAACACTTCAGAGATGTCCTGAGGGGTATCTTGTATTCCAGACAGAGTGCATGCCTTATCTCTATTATAGAATTGCTGTCCAGTTTTCTCTTGGTAGTCAGGATCAATCACCCCAGCCAACACAGTAACTCCCTTCTTTACCTGTTGTTTCATAGATGTGAGGACTTCAAGGTGGCCTAGTGGCTTTCTCAGCTTGAAATTCAATGGAATCACTGTGGCATTTCCTGGTGGAAGCATTCTACAAGCAGAGCCTAAGGTCTCGGGAACAGGGAGCAAACATTTTGCTAATAAGTCACTAGGAGAAATAGTTGAGTGGTACCACTCCCATCTCTACCCTTTCATTTCTGAGCTTATGAATTCTGACTGTGAGAGAAATGGCACCAGGTATTGGATGCTGATTCAAAGCATATTTTGGAAAGCTTTGCTACAGTTCTGCAAGTTCAAGTCACCTCGCTCTAAGTGCTGTCCCACTATTCTGTCCAGCCAGCTGCTTCAGGGTGATGGGAAACACAGAGCAGTGAGTTCAGTGAATGTGGGTCCAGTTCCTCCCTTCATTTGTTGTGAAGTGAGTTCCTTCATCAGAAGCACTGCTGCATAGAGTACTATGATGCTGGATGAAGCATTCGGTAAGTTCATGGATGGTAGTTTTGGCAGAAGCACTGTGTGCAGGAAAGGCAGATTTATATCTGGAGTCAATATTTATTCCAGTAAGAACAAAATATTTCCCCTTCTGTGATGGAAAGAGTCCACGATAATCAACCTGCCACCAGGTTGGCAGGCATTTAAGGCGTGGTAACCCGAGGGTTGGTCTGTGCTGTTGGAAGATTCAGTGCTCAGCAGTGGCCATAGCCAGGTTGGCCTTGAGGAGTGGAAGTGGAAGTCATGTTTCTGAGTCCATGTGTGACCTTCATTCTTGTCACCAGGGCCACTTTGTCCATGAGTACACTGGGCAATAATAGGGGTGACTAGGGAAAAAGTGATTGGTCATAGACCAGGAATCATTCTGTAATTGTATATCTGGCCATTTCTTCTTCCAATCAAAGTGAACAACCAGGTTCCCTGCTCAAAGTCTGCCCACTGGCAGGATTTCCTTCACCATTGCCCTTCAGGGATGTCCCAGAACAAGGGATTGTATTACTACAGCCATCTACTTTTGGGTGGGGCTTGTATATTGTCCAAATTCATCTGTAATCAAGGCCAGGGTCTTCTCTTCCACTGTCAGCTGATTTAGGGAACTCCCCATGAGGCCATTGGTGCAGATTTATTTTTTACTGGTATGCGAACATCTTACCATGAAGTCTAGAGTAGTTCCTACCCCAGGTCCATCTTTCGGTCATCAGGCCCAGTGAGCATAATGCCATCAGTGTACTGGAGCAGCGTGCTATCTTGTGGAAGAGAAAGGCGATCAAGATACCTGTGAATTAGATTATGACCCCTTCATTAGAACTGGAGGGTTCATAGTCCCCTGAGGTACGAGAGCGAAAGTGTATTGCTGTTGGCCTTGCTAGTGGAAACTGCTTCTGGTGGTCTTACCAATACATATAGAAAAAAGCAAACAAACAGAAAACATTTGTCAGATCAGTAGCTGCGTGTCAGGTGCCAGGGGATGTGTTTGTTTGCTCAGGCAATGGAGCTGCATCTCACAGAGCAGCTGCAACTGGCCTTTCCACCTGACTAAGCTTATGATGGTCCACTGTCGTTCCCTGAGATGCACCGCTCTCCTGCCGAGGTTAAATAGGTGAGCTGAATGTGGATGTAGTGGGAATCACCGTGCCTGCATTTTTCAAGTCCTTGATTGTGGCGCTAATCTGCTGCAGTCTTTCCAGGAATGGGGCAGTGCTTCTAGTTTACCGATTTCCTAGGTAGAGGCAGTTCTAATGGATTCCACCATGCTATTCCCATTTGAATAACCCTCACTGTGTAGGTCAGGGAGCCATTGTGGGCATTCTGCTAGCTGCTGAGTGTATCTGTTCCAGTAATTGTGCTATTGGGAAATAACCACAGAATAGGTTAGGAGACCCCCTGGGCTCACTCAGTGTGAAACAGACTTGAGCTAAAATCCCACTGACCGCTTGACCTCCGTAAGCTCCTACTCTGCTGCTAGATCACAATGATGTTTTAGATCTCTTGGAATTAACGTCAGTTCTGAGTCAGCACTGACATTAGTCCCCAGAAACACTAATTAGTCAATTTCCTTTTGCCCAATCACAGTTACCCTGGCAAAAGCTGTGGGTTACTTTGGGAAAGGCTGGGAGAAAGATTAACAGTATAAATTTTTGGCAGTTCATCCACTGGGTTCTGGATCTGTAAACCAGTTCAAATCTAGGAAATGAATAAGGGACCTTGAACCTGTCTTTTTATGGTTCAGGTTAAATTTTTGTTCTCTTGACCTAGAATTTTCCTGCTTAGACAGATCAAGAAAGAATTTAGTAGGCTTCCTATCCATTGCATTTCTAGGAATGACATGATCAACTAGCTAGTGCCTTAGGTCTGTACAAGTCAGACTCTTCTGATTGCTGCTGCTTTGCTGTCCATTATGGTCTCCATACTGTCCTTGCCTTTGGCAGATCCCTGCCAGCCAGGATATAATTACTCCCGTTGCATTTAGGTTTTCTAGTTCGGTGACTGCAGTCCCCGTTGTAAGGTCTGGCCTAAAAAGAAGAGCAGTCACAGAGTTCTTCAGAGATGTTGGGGTTCTTTTCATAGGTCTGTTTCTCACGGTAGTGATGAGAATATTTTCTGAACCCTCCCAGTGTGTATGCCTGGGTCCTAACTGACAAATCCACTCTAACATTTCAATCTCTCTAAGTCTTTGAATCTCTGCATTAAGTGAAGGCAGGTCTAGCATTTCTAATTTGCCCACTGCAGAGTGTCTGAGATCAGTAAGGGAATTAGTGTAGATGGGAGAGGAGGAAAAAAAAAAAAAACCTCTAAGATGGGGTGCTCCAACATTTAGATATTTGGAAGATTAGGAACAAATTTATTTGTTTCCTCCAGCCAAGTGTACATGCACAAGTGCAAGCATAGAATAAGCAGAGAGGGTTGGACATTACCAGGGTTGTAGTTTAGCCAAGCACAGGGAAACAGGAAAAGGGCTGGAGAATTAAGAGTGTATGCAAAGGAGTGGTTATGTCTGACCATGCAATGTAAGCTGAATAAAGATAGAAGTTTAGATATGAGAGACAAGAGAAATATATTAGAACCAATGAATTGTTGGTTCTGGTGAGGTCAGAGGACTGTTGAAATTTTATAGTTTCCCAGTAGAAGTGGTGAGCTGGAAAAGTAGAAGATGGTGGTCAGAAAGTGAGATGCCTCAAGTGGAGACGATTGAGAGGCAATGCAGTTGTCCTTTGGTACCTGCAGAGGATTGGTTCAAGGGCCTCACATGGATGCCATAATCCATGGGTGCTCAGTCCCTTTTATAAAATGGCATTTGATTTGCACGTATCCTTTGTGCATCCTCTTGTATACTTTAAATCATCTCTAGATTGCTTATGATACCTAATACAAAGTGCAGATGACCCTTGAGCAGTGTGGGTGTTAAGAGCCCTGGTGCTTTGTGCATTGGAAAACCCATGTATAACTTTACAGTCAAAGTCAGAAAGAGAAAAGCAAGTATGGTATATTAACTCATATACAAGGAATCTAAGAGGATGGTATGGATAAACCTATCTGCAGGGCAACAGTGGAGACACGGACATAGAGAACAGACTTGTGGAGACGGAGGAATTAGAGGGTGGGACGAACTGGAAGAGCAGCACTGAAACATATACATTACCAAATATAAAATAAACAGCCAGTAGGAATCTGCTGTGTGACTCAGCTCAAACCCCAGACTGTGTGACAACCTAGAGGGGTGGGATGGGATGGGAGGTGGGAGGGAGTTTCAAGAGGGAGGGGACATATGTATACCTGTGGCTGATTCACATTGATATATGGCAGAAGCCAACACAATATTGTAAAGTAATTATCCTCCAATTAAAAATAAATAAGTTAAAAAAAACTATAGTCAGCTCTCTGTATGCTTGGCTCCACACCCACAGATTCAGCCCACTGTGGATCATGCAATATTATAGTATTTAGTAAATAACAAAACAGCCTGCGTGGAAGGACTGGTACTGTTCACTTCCATCTTGTTCGAGGGTCAACTGCAAATGTTATGGAAATAGTTGCCAATGTACAGCAAATTCAAGGTTTGCTTTTAGAAACTTTTTAGAATTTGTTTCTGAATATTTTTTGATCCACAATTGGTTGAATTAGAGGATCTGGGATGCACAGATATGGAGGGCCGACCATAATTATTGGGAAAGATGAGAGCTGAGGTATGGCCACATGAGTAAGTAGCTGGAGTAAGGTGGAGAATAAACCCCGTAGGAGAGAAGGCCAAGGCACTGAGCGACGCTGTATTAGGCAGATCGTCCCTGTGGACGTTGAAGGCCACTGAGAGTAACGACAGGAGTGGGGTTTGAGACAGTGTCAGGGAGTCAGGGGAAGGGGAGGCTGGCCTGGGCACTGTTTGGGCACTGCAGCAGAGAAAGAGACTTAGTGCTGTTATTTGAAGTTACAAAACTTAAATGGGCAGGTTTATTGAGGAGAGAAGAAAGAGTGGTCTGGAAGGAGCAATGGGGAGCAGGCATGTCATCTCCACCTCCAAACTCAGTAGTAGTGGCCTTTGGGAGTTGAGAGGGCTGCAGGGTTGATCAGGTTTTAAAGCACGAAGGGAAGGGAATGTTTACAGATAAGGCGATTTTGCTGATGACTGAGTCTTACAGAGCCCAGTGGAGTTTTTAGGTATCGGACAGGGATCAGAAATGGGTCTGAAAAGGAGATGTTCAGCCTTATGGAAATTAGAGTCCTGAAGATGAGAGTTAACTTTGGCTTCTTGTGACAACTAAAATCAGCAGGCATAAAGGGCATCATGAGATTTATCCTGATGAAAGTCTTTGAAAGAAGCTTTAAGTTCAGAGTGGAAACCATAATGAAATAAATGTGCAACCTCAGTGCCTATTCAAGGACAAGTTTGGGCTTGGATCAGTCATGAGTGAAATGCTGGCTGGCAAATGTCTGCCTTATAAAGGGTGCAGGGTGGTTTATGGGGTTATGAAGGGATCTGAAGACCTTGGAGATAATCAAAGTTTATTATTCATTACCTTCAATTTACATCATCTAGCAATTATTGCTGCTATTCAAAGACTTTTATCATCAGAAGAGGATCTTTCTCAAAAGCTAGGCAGTAA